AAACCTCCCGGGGGGGGGTCCTGGGGGCATCTGGCTGGCACAGAGCTAAGCGGCCCATGGAGTCCCAGGTCATCTGCCCCAAAGCTAACAACGCACCACAACCATTGCAGAAAAGGCAATGCTACTGTGCAAAAGCAGGGCTTTTCGTTGCTGAGAGTAACTGCTAATTGAAGGATGGAATAGCCCAGTCACAGTGCTTTATTCATTTATTGGTTTGCAATGTAAGGCAGCCCCATTTGTCGTTATACAGACCGGAAGTCAGAACGCACCTTTCACCAGCTGCTTTGAACTTCTCCACATGTAAGGAGGGGGAGACTTTCAGATGCTCCTCTCCGTGACTGTTCACGCGTTGACTGCAAACGCTGAACAGGCCCTTCTCATCGAGCAGACAGGCTTTAACGGAGATTAGGCGACTCGCCTTACATCACGGCTTCCAAAAGGTTGGAAACTGCTGCTTTTCTGGTACAAAAGCAGGATTTTGGGCAATTAGGACCACCCTTCGTTGACAGCTGATGTTCCGAAACAGGAGGAACTCTGAAATCAAAGGGATCGATGCTGACTACAGGTTTTGCCTCGTATCCCACGTTCCAGAGCAGAGACTTGCTGTTTTCCTTTAAAAAAAAAGGCTTGGGTACTCTGGCTTATAGGGGTGGGGGCAACTGACCCCCTCCTTGCACTTGTCCACACTGGCCTTCATCTCACCTGCAGGGAGAGGTTCAGGCACCCTTCGCTGTCCCGCCTCTAATGCAGCATTTCTCCTCCGTCTTCCGAGACGGTGGCCTCGAGGTGGGTAAAACCAGTTTGGGTTTCTCGCCTGTGACCTGAGAGAGATGCCATGGAATTGGCAGGGGCTGGGGACAGAGTCAGGAGGGGGCAGTTTCTGGCTGCCCCACGGCGCAGGGGGTTCAAACTACCAGCAAGGAGAGTCAAGCTAGTTGCCAGGAACTTCCAGATTGTGCAAAATGTCAGCCGGTGGAACAGGCTGCCACGTGAGGTGGCTGGTTCTCCTTGTCTGGATGGTCACCCATTAGAGGTGCTCTAAATGGGCTGGGTACCGAGCAGGGGGTGGATTAGATGACCCCGAGGAACCCTTCGGCTCTAGGATCCTACAATACCACGCTCCGTTTGACTCCGGGAATGAGCAGCAACACTTGCTCAGACGTTCCTTCTTGAAAAATATGGTGGGCAAAGGTAGTTTGTCGACCAATTAGTAGCTCAGCATGACGTCCACACATGCTGGCTGGGGAATTCTGGGAGCTGAAGTCCACACATCTTAAAGCTGCCAAGGTTGAGAAACACTGGATTAAAGCATTCTCTCACATTTCTCCGCGGAAGGAACATTTCCCAAAGTGGCTGTAGCTTGTGAGAAAGTACCTTTGTGCCCTGGGAGGTGTGGAAAAGGCCACTGCCCTGGAACTCCCAAGGCCTTCAAACAAGGTCTTCTTCTTCACCCGCTGGGTAGCTTTCCACCATATGCAGAAGTCCCTCCCAGCCGGTTCCCTGTATCCAGAGGGTCTCCCCTGATGTTCAGAGGGTGCAGAGACCCAAATGAGGCATGCTTGGGTGGGGTGCCAGGGTCCCCCCTGCAATTGCCAATTGTTGTGGCCTTTCTTTGGGGGTTATTGACAAAGAGCCCCCTTAGGCTAGAGCTTAAAACTCTTTATTACTGGAATGGTCTGTGGGAATATCCTCGAGAGACAGGAGGAGGAAGAGCCACAGCCAGGGGACAGTCGGATAAGAGGCAGCTGAGCCCACAGCAGGAATGGGGGCGTGGGAAGCGTCTCAGAAGGGACCCTCCCTAGTCCCCTGGAAAGTAAAGGCCGGGGGCGGGGGGAGAGATGTGCTTTCAGACTTGCAAGATTCGGTTACGGTAACCTGACAATAAAGGGCTGACAATTACCACTTGCCCCGGCCTCCGTCCAGAATCCCCCCTCTCCTAAGTGCTTCCTCTGCCGTGAAGTCTCCTGAGCTTGCTGCACTGCAATCCTGGAGTCCTTCTCTTCACCCCGGAGAGGGGTTCCATGGACACATCCCTGCTTCAGGAATGCCACATCCCGGGGCTTTTCACCCAGCAACACCAACGCATCGCTATCAAGGGCAGGAGGGGGCGGGAAAGACAGCTGCCTTAAGGAAGCCCCCCACCTGCACAGAGTGGGGTTCTGCTCACCCCAAAAGCAGGAGAGGGGGAGGCTACACATTCCCGGCTTCTTCAGGGGCTCTTCAGAGGATGTAGCTACTAGTCCCCAGGTCTTCCTCGCAGCCCTTCCTTTAACTTGCTCTAGTTCAGATGGGGATGGTTGGAACAGATACAGGACTGGACGCGTGGCCTGACCAGTGCAGAACAAGGACTTCGCCTGCGGTAGAAACTTTCCATCAGTTGCTACAGCCTTGGAGGCCCTCCGAATAGTTTTCACGACAGCTCTGGATTCCCATAACTGTCTCCCTGCCAGCCCAAACTGAACCTTCTTGCTAACGGAAGGACACGGGTCCTTTGACCAATGCTTTGCAGAAATCAAGATATTTTAGGTCTACCAGTCTCCCAAAATTTTCTAAGCAGGTTGCTCAACCTATGACTATGATATGGTGAATCTGGCAAGATCGGTTCTTGATCGATTAACGCTGACTTCTGCTACTCACCGTGTTGTTTTTACATTTACAGCAGGTCGCGCGAGTCTGTGATCCGAGAAGGACAGCTGAAGGAGGAAAGAAACAAAGCCGTGCAGGAACGGACTGGGTTGTGTTGAAGAAAAGGAAGAACGGGAGGTGGGATCCTTGGAAAAACTTGTGTCAGTGTTTATTGCTTTATTCATGTTGGAAGCCCTCCCCTCGCAGATCTTTTGGCTGATCTCTCTCATTCGGGTGGGTCGCGGTGGGAAAGGGGGAGCGTTTCCTTGTTGAGCTGGGCTCTCCTTCAGCTACGCTTTGGGAAGGGCTGCATGGAACCGACAAGAACCGTGGCGGGCTTTTCGTCAGCCACAGCACAACCCCAGCGATGCAGGCAGTGGTCACAACAACGCTCCCGATGATGAATCCAGTCACCATCCCTGTATTGGGCGAGTATCTCTGCTGCACTGGAAAAAAAGCAGAGGCCGTGTTCATCGCTCCAGCAGCGACCGGCTAATCGTGCGAAACGCTCCGCTTATTTATCTGAAAGGGTTCTATGGCCACCCATCTTACAGCACAGCTCCGGGGGGCTCACAGCAATAATAAAGCTACAAACCAGAAACCCATAAAAACAGAAACTAAAACCCCCAGACTAAAAACCCAGGGCCTCAGTCATCCCCTTGGGATGCCCCACCAGCCATCCATAGGCTCCCACCACGCTACCCAGCCCCTGGAGAAGGGGCAAGTCTGGAGGGCCTTCCAGAAGGCTAAAAGGGGGGGGCTGCCGGATCACCGGGGGGGGCGTGTTCCATAAGGTCAGGGCAGCCATGGACCGGGCAGGCTTCTGAGGTCCTGCGAGATGGTGGCATTTTGTGGGAGGGGCCTGGAGTGTGCCCACCCTATCCGGGCACACTCCAAGTGGGGTGGGCAGACCCTCAGAGAGAGCCAGTCCCACAGATAGTGCTGTGCAGGGCTTCAACCAGCAGCTTGAATTGCTGCTTGAAATATTACAGCCTTGTTCCCTTGTGCCTCCCCAATTCACCCGACACTTTCACAAGCCTCTGAAGCACTTCTAGGCTGGCGAGCAGCGCACACTTAAGATGACTTTGCAAGAAAATACCTGTCTTGGCTTATGCAGAAATCATAAAAATATGCTTTTTTTCTTTCTTTTTTGGGGCAATGTCATTGCACCACATATTCGGAAAAGGGAACCAAACCCGTGTCGGTGTGATGAAAGAAATGGCGCTTTTCCTTAACTGCACCTCTACGCAGGCCAGGATGTGAAAGCTTTTGGAATCGGGGGAGGAAAGGAGACGTGTCCCCACCTCCTTCTCCCCTATCAGAAACTAACTCCCGCATGACTTGAGTAGAAGAAAATGCTTTATTTTATTTTATGTTTGTTTCTTCGCTTATATTTGGAGTTTAGACACTGCCCATCTCACGAGGAAGCTGATTCCTATGGATCCAATCGCAACCGCCGGGTTCCACAGAGAGCTGAGCCTTTCTCACCCTCTCGCCTCTCACCCAGGCCCAACCCTTTCCAGCTTCCTCCCCGGGCAGCCCCATGGAAAGAAGACAGCCACTTACGCGGACAAGCCTCTCTCAAGGTCTTTGTCTTGGAAGCCTTGCTGATGGGGTTTTCTGCTTCGCAGGTGACCTTCCCGTCAAAGGCTCGAATGTTGCTGTAGTTGATAGCAAGCGAGCTCCCGTTGCTGAGGCCGCCCATCCCAGCCGTCAGATGCCAGTCCAGGTGCAGGCTGTCGTTCCACGGCCCTGCAGAGCAGTTCAACCGCAGCATTTTTGGTCTAGCACCATCTACCATGCACTGGATCATCAGATCCTGGCTGTGCAAACGTTCTGCGTGGGAGACAGGAAGGACAGGGGCATGAAAGACCAGGAAGTGCAACGATGGGAGGCAAGAGTGGCTTTGGGGGGGGTTCTTAGGGCCTTTCCCCCTGCCCCTCAATCCAGAAGAAAGATGCCACAACAACTCTTTGTTCTGCCCTGTCCCCATGACCCTGCCCTCATCTTTCTTCAGGCCATGAGCAAGACAGCCTTGTCACCCTAATCCAGTGCTTCTCAACCTTGGCCTTGGCCAACCTTGAAGATGGGTGGACTTCAACTCCCAGAATTCCCCAGCCAGCATTGCTGGCTAGGGAATTCTGGGAGTTGAAGTCCACCCATCTTCAAGCGACCAAGGTTGAGAAACACTGCCCTAAGCACCAAAGTACATAAAACCTGTTCTGCAGAGTCAAAGTCAGGGTCTGGATGTTTTTTTTAAAATGGTGTTATCTTTACGGTTCAAGCAAAGAATGTTTCACAAGTTCAGGAAAT